AGCTTTGCCGATAAACTTGTTTATTGCATTTTCACTATTTCCTTGTTTGTATTCCATCCTTGCATTGTATTCATACTTCTCATAAGACAAATTTTTTGGGGTATTCTTTTATCTAATTGACTTTTACCCAAAAAAACGAACTCCATGCAGCAGTTCAGTCTCTCGGGTTCAAGGCAATTAGATAGGGGCATCTGTCATACCCCAAATTTGTCCTACATTTCTCAGCATTCTCTCTGTAAGATCATCTGGCCTTTGGCCATGATCTTTTGAGAATTTGGTCATAGGATCTTGTGTGCGTGCTTATTGGGACTAACTAGCTTATGCAGGTGCAGTGATTTCAAGTATAGATTCTCACAATCAAGTATTTCAGGGCATGACCAGTTGAGTCAAATTTAAAGTGGTTTTAGGATTTCTATTTTGATATAAGCCTCGCTGTTAGAAATCTTTCTTGTTCTTGATCCATCCTAGAATCATTTGCTTTGAAGAAATTTGGATAAATGCTCGTGACTATATTTCTTTAAAGTCAAGGTCGAGCTTTTGTTTCTAATATATCAAGGGGGCCTCCGGGTCAAGATGTTAGGGTGTATGATTAATTCTTCATCATTACTTCAGTTGAGAATACTTGAAATTATATTTTTTATTCTTCTTAAATTCTCAAGTTATTCCTTTATCCAAGTAATCAAATGAATGATGGCTTGTTAAAACAAAGGATTTGGTACGAGGTACATGTCATGGTGCAAAGAATGAAGTTGTGGAGTTATTGAGATTAAGGTGACAAAGTAGTGAGATTTGGTTTATGGATTTCATATGGCATCCAAGTTTTGTTCATAACGTTTTGAGTTCAAATGATTCAATTTGGTTGGATTAAAGTTGGTAAGCATGCTAAAATTGGAAGGTCTGTTTGTAGGGGTTCCTTGAAGTTCAAATTCATGTAAAATACAATTTATTGGTGATGGTTACAAGAACATTCAAGTTATCATAAGGTTCAAGTATCCAAATTTCATCAAACTTTATTCTAAGAAACTTCATAATTTATGTTCTTTACAAAATTCACGTTGAAATTCAAATTCAAGTTGTCATGGGATTCAAGAACTTTCAAAGTTATCATAAAGATTCAAATTTTGAGAATTTTTAGTCCAAAGTGGATTCCAAAAGACACAAGGTCATCACGAGTTCAAACATGGAAATCCATATTATCTCACCTTTCTAGAATCCAAGTTATAAAAGCAAATAGATTTTTTTTCCATGTTTCTCACACAATTAAATTTGAAGATGTTAAAGCTCTAATTTAAATAACCATTTCAAGCTACCATAAAAGTTCAAAAGGATATCAAAGTTCATATCATTCAAATTATAAATTAAAAAAAGAAAAGAATATTATGATCAAAATAAAATGCAAAGGTACACGTGAGTATTCACGATGATTCAATGCACTATCATTTAAGTCTACATGACATTAATTCCTAAGTCTACAAACTCATCAACCTAGCTAATAACAAAGTCACTAAGTTTGGTATTCATATATAATGATTGTTTGGAGCTTCCATGCAAATATCTTGTTTCTCCACTTGAAATTGAAAGGATTTCCAAAAATAGTCTTCGTACTTTGGTTGGCAGTGATGTCACAAGCTTTTACCGCTAGTTTCCTCAACAAAATCTTGGTTGTCGGCAACAAATCAATACACAACAAGCTGTTAACACGAAAAAACATTAGCATTCAAACACTTTCCAAAACGTAACAAACATGTTGAAATAAGAAAAAGAAAAGAATCAAGAACAGTGTCACGATAGGTTTCGAACAAAAATCATCATCATTAATCCATATTTATCAGAGCATTCATTCAAGACAGTTTGAGTGAAACATCTTTGAATTGGTACATGGACTTAGAAAGAAGTTGTATCCAGTCCTGGCGAGACTTATCCAACGCCTTTTTGAAGTAGTATGAGTTCAACTTAAACATAACTCCAGACCGTATGCAATTCCAAAGCCTATCTCAAGAGACCAACGGATCTTTCGGAGGATATGCACAACGATGGAGAGAATTGGCAGCCCAAGTGCAACCGCCACTCTTAGAGAAGGAATTGGTTAATCTGTTAATGAGAACCTTGCAAAGCCCATACTACGAAAGGTTAATAAGCAGTGCGATATCAGACTTCGCCCACCTAGTGACAATTGGAGAACACATCGAAGGTGGCCTGAGAAATGGAAGAATCCAAAGCGCTTCAAGCAGCCAAGCTAGTGAAACTGAGCCTCTCAGTAATTCCCAAGAGGATGAAGAGGAGGAAATCAATGCAGTCATGTAAAGTGTTGAGTATTCTTATTGTGCAACAGCAAGACCTTATGGTCCCTCTTCTTCTCAGCAGTCATCTTCAGCACCACACCATCCTTATAGACAACCAATAATGCATAGAGCGTCATACCAGAAACCTTGGACCACTCCTCGTGACCGAGGACATCAGAATCAACGTCAGAGTCAACATAAGCCTTGAAACAATCTGGAAATAAGGAATTCTCCTCTTCATCCGGTTCCCATGTCATACACTCAACTTCTGCCGTATCTGGTCCGAAACTCACTGGTGGAACCTAAATCTCTCAATCTGTTTCCAAAACCATACCCGCCTAGGTACAATCCCAATGTGCGATGTGGATATCATGCTGGATCGATAGGGCACTTACCTGAAGACTGCAAAGCTTTCCAAGTCAAAGTACAATAGTTGATCGGCAAGAAGTGCATATCCTTTCCAGAAGGAAACTTGGTTGTGCACGTCAACTTCTCGCCTGAATGAGTTTGAAGACTTCACGAGGTATCTTCTAAAGCCAGTGGTTCAGACAGGGAGACATTCTCCTTGGAACTGACAATCATTAGATCACTTTTATCATTTGTATTTGTAGTCTTTTTCTTGTTAAATGCTACTTGTATTTAAACATTGTTGTTTTGAATAGTAATATTAATGAAGTGATCATGCATTTTTAAATTAATCAGGTCACATTCGCTCATTTTTCTTCACTTATATAAAAAAAACAAAAAATACATCGATATACCTCTCGTCCAATTTCTTTAGCAAACTCTGTTTTAGCAAAGATTGGAGGGAGGATGATGAAAATGAAATACCCATAATTTCTATTCAATGCTTTCGGATGAAATCCTACTGAGGATGTACATACATTGTTTCAAATCCCCAAACACTGGAGAGATAAATAGTTACTCCCTAGTTAACCATTTCGAGCTTAGAAGTAGGAGCTTCCTTTGGATCTCTAAATCCTTACACTTTACCTGAGGCATGGGTAGTGTTCAGTTAATCTGACTACACATTTGATTACAAGATGAAACATCCCGTCTGAGGATTAGTCATATGTTATTCTTCGCACCCATCCTAACGTGTCGAAGGAACCATACAAAACTCAAAAGTTATGACGATTGTTCTTCGAGGACCAATGACCTAGAAGTCACAAGCCTTTCCAAAAAAGAAAAATAAAAAATAAACTGAAGCCCGCTAAGTCAAACACCCAAAGAGGCGACTTTGACAAAAATCAGGGCAATCGCGATGGACTTGAAAAAAATCAATCCGGACAAAAGTTATGGATATATATATATATATATATATATATATATATATATATATATATATATATATATATATATATATATATATATATATATATATATATATATATATATATATATATATATATATATATATATATATATATATATATATATATATATATATATATATATATATCAAAATCAAAAGAGATCCTTAAATCCTCAACAAAATAAAACTGGATTAAGTGACCACCATGTCAAAAAATAAAAGGGTCATTGACATCCATGAGAAAAGTGAAATAAAGTGACTGCTATTTCAAGCGAGTCTGGAATCCTCATTTACACTTTCACACTGCCGAACTCTCTTAGAAGATGAATACATGTCAATTTAACTGAACGTAAGACTTGAGAACATCACGAATAAGGGGTGAACATAATTCAAATTTTGAGTCATATATCCTTTGTTTATATAACCGTGAACATACCGCGTTATAACCTTCAAAAGACCTATTTGAAACCGAGTTTATTCTGAAAATATACTGCATGAAGTTTGCGTAAACTGACTCTTACATATTTGAGGCAGAGTTTTTTTCGACATATTTTATTATTATGGACATTGAGGAAGATTCTCAAATACTTATCAATGTTGGTAGATTCTCAATTATTGATGTTAAGGGAATGTTAACCCTTAAGGTAGGAAATGAGAGAGTTGAATTCATAATGACAAGAATCCTGAAAGATCCTTATGCAAATGTTTCTTATTACTTAGTTGATGAGATTAAAACTTGTGATGAAGTAAAACGCAAACACCCAACATTTAAGGTATAGCAAAAGTCATCCCTCCGAATAAGAAATATGAACCACTGAATAAGAGAAAGAAAACTAATGATAAAACCAAACCTAAAACAAACACTTAAGGTGGAATAAAAACTATCTTACTGGTTAAAAAGTACGAACCACCCCATAAAAAAAGAGTAGTAAATATGAGAACGGTGGAAGTAGTAAATAGAGATTAAAAGATAAAAAATCAAAAGTATATTTAAGCTAAAACAATAATATGATATAAAACACCATGATAAAAAAATTAAAAGAATAAAGAAAAAGTCACATCATTTGAATGAAATTGTTGATATGTATTCTTGTTAAAAAGTTTATCAAAATTTATTTGCTAAAAAGAGTTTAATAGTAGTGCATTGAAAGTAAAAAATATTACATATATATTTAATCAAAATACTTTTAAATATTATATTATATAAATAATTTAAAGATTAACTTGACAGAATATATGTTATTATTGATTAATTGTGTAAAAATAATTTATTGATTGATTGTGTAAAAATAATTTACTTGCACGGTATAATTATTTTATTATAAAAAATCTTGGAAATCTCAACTCCATAAACTTGAAATTGAATGAATTGGAAGAAGTAGATACTGTAAAATTGAAGTGAAATGGTGAAAGTAAGCAAACAAGTTATGCAAAAAGCGGCGACACTACTCTCCGACTTCCTCGTTTGCCCTCTCTCCAAACAACCCCTAAGGTAGCTACCTCACTTTCATTTCTTTCCAATTTTACATAATGCAAAACCCTAATCAAATTCAACATCTTTTTAGGGTTTCCGAGGAATCAAATTCCCTTATCAGTGATGCTATTGCCGTTTCATTTCCCGTCAGTTCTATCAACTCCTTCCTGCATTTTAATTTTCTCATTCAAATTGCATCAACTTAGTTCCCATGTATTATCAATTTCATTTCTAAAATTACACAATGTTAGTCATGTTCATCAATCTTGATATGTTATTATTGGTTTCAATTGTAACCCTACTTGATTAAGTTTTTGCAATTTGAAGGATCATTTTAATATATTTTTAGTGTAGAGGAATAGATTTATAGTCCTACAATTTCGGAGATCAAATTGAGTATTTACTCGACAACTTCAAATGATAATTGAGTATAGAGACACTTGGAGTTTGGTAAAGAGTTTAATTAAGTGACTTTTTAATACGATTTCTCTTAAGAGTCTTACATTGGGTGGGATAATGTGACGGGATGGAATGGTATGGAAGGAGGTTCAGTTGTTTGGATCAATTAAAATCAGATGGAGCAGAATTGATTGTTATGAATTCTCTTCCATTCCATCACTTACCATCATAATTTCCCCCCTCCGATTTAGGCGGAAGGGAGAACTTGCCTTGCTCTGTCCTAAATACCCAAACAATGGAATGAAATCTTCATTTCGCTCAATTCCATTCCACTCGGTTCATTTCATGATATTCAAACATAAGGCTATGTTTGGATTGATGGAATATAACGAAGCGGAACAAAATGGAACATAACGGAGTGGAATGATGCGTAGTAGAATGGAATATAAATCTCACTCCATTGTTTGTAGATTTTATTAAAATTGTCTCATTTTGCATACATTTCACATTGGATGAAACAAAAAATGGAGGATTGGATGAAATGATCATGTTCCATTCCACTTCATCTATTATTTGCAAATCCAAATAATAAAATCTCATTATTTATCACTTAATTCCATTCCTTCTCATCCCATACCACCAATTCAAACATGGGATGAGATGAAATGGAATGGAATGGTAAATAATAAGATTCTATTGTTTGGATTTGCAAATAATGGATGGAGCGGAATGAAACATAATGGAATCCATTTCATCCCATTCCATCCAATCCTCTATTTTTTGCTCCATCTGGCTTGGGGTATATACAATAGAATGAGACATTTTGAATAAAGTATCTAAATAATGGAGTGAGATCTATATTTCATTTTGTTCCGCTCCATTTCACTCCGTTATGTTCCATCAATCCAAACATAAGGTCAATTTGAATTATAAGATGATATCAGAGTTTGTCTAAGATTCATTTGACCACCTGCTATTGAGCCAATCAGATCACACTCTATGTCAAGTCAAGTGCATGAAGAGGTGTGTTAAGAGTCTTATATTGAATGAGATAAGACTTTACTTCACAAGTCAATTTTATAAAGGTTGATTTATATAAACCTAAGAGAATATGTAGGTAAACTTTACATAAGTTTTGAACAAGCTTATTCTGTAAATTTAGGGGACTTTATGAGATAAACTCGAGAAGATTTATGAGCATTCCCGTGTGCTGTTTTGATAGTCTCCTCCCAGAACTTATACAAGTAATTTTGTTAAATAAATGAGTTTAGATAATATCTTCTAATTATAAGTATAGTCATTAAAACAAATATGATCTAGTTTTAGTGATGACTTATGTTACATTTTTATGTGTACCTGTTAGATAAAGAATGGGATACCTTGCTTGGTTCCAAGAGATGGGAAGATACTCGAGGAAGAAGATGCATCAAAACCAGATAATGATGCCAATTTATATTCAGTAAATGAAGATAATAAGGGAAGAAGTTCCTAAGTTGGTGAGCTGTGGAGACGCTTAAGGTTTGATATTTAGTTTCACAGGGGTTGTGTTGCCCTCTCTTCACTCTTCCTCGCACCTCTTTTCCACATGATGATCAAAATCTGTGACCATTTGGTAGAGTTGTGTGTGACAGAGAAGTTATCCTTTAACACTTTGGGGAGGACTGAAATATGACGCTTCCTTCTTTGAAATAATTATGAAAATAAATCTCAGTTTCCTCCTTCCCTTCGACTGTTTGAATATTATATTCACGCTGAATAGGTTGATTTGTATCTCTTGGATGTCTCTTTTTAACTTAATGATTCAAAGCTTATACTTCATACATTTTTGTCTGTTGGTGGTGATACATCTCTTTGTATATTAACATTTGGGGTTTGGTAATAGCTCTGCAAATGTTAGTAAGTTAGTGGTTATGTTAGTTTTTCAGGTTTTGAACCTTGAATCTCATGCCTATAGCTTCTTTACTGTCTCTTATTTCACCAATCCGAGTATCGATTCGCGACCAAAACTGACTTTGTTACTGCTGGCAATCAAGCGAAATGTCATTCATATATTGTGACTTCATGAACAAGAATGAGAAAACGACTGAAGGTTAGAGTATACAAGATAGCTTTTCTTGCACTTGAAAGCAATGGTCTGCCTCAATGAGGTCTGATCTGGTGGCCTGACTTGTGTTTTACAGCTTACCTACCTGTCTATTTGTTTTCTCTTTTATTTAAACATCAAATTCCCCCATATTTTAAACAGTTTCCAATTTGAGCTAGTTCAAATTTATGGCCTCAAATAACCAATTTATCTTATCATGTTTCAACAATTTCTGAAAGTTTTTCATATGTCAGTTTTCTGTTTTGTCCAAGCTGATAATTAAACCTAACATAATTGTGTCGTTTTCTTGTTTGTATGGTAATAGAAAACACTACAGTAATTCACCAAAGAAAAACTATAGTGAAGTTATTTGACCAATAAATCTTATATTGACAACTTGACTATAACTTAACATCTTCATTCCCTTTTAACTTTTTACACAAACGACCTACTAACAACTTAGTTTGAAATCATCTAAACTGTGGAAGAGTAAAATACTTCAAGATATTTCAGATATTGTTGTGTTAAGAATATGAACCGTAAATATAAATTCAAAATGATGACTTATCTTTAGATTCACATAGTTGTCAGATGAAATATATCTTCTAGTTATTTTTGCGTGTGGTGTACAATTTAAACTCGTTATGCTATTTATAAGAACCGTGATCTTATGATACTCTGCAAAATTTCAAGAGCAATCAAGTTGTCTGCTGAATCATGAATTGCCATGTCACCTTGCCTTGTTGCTTAAAAGACTTTAAACTCATCTGACTAAGACTTAACAAGTGTCATTTTCTAAACACATTATAAAAAATAATAATAATAATAAGGAAAAAAAAGTTAAAAAGTACTAGTAGTTACAATCTAGCACATTAATTCCTGCACTCATTGATGTACCATGTACGTATTCGATAAATATCAAATAATTTAAATTGAATTTTTATATTTTAAATTATTATTCAAAAATTTTAAAAAAACATTTTTTGAACTATTAGATCTCGACTAGTCACTGATGCATCAAACGCGTGACTGCGGTGAATTATCATTTGAATACATACATACATGACTATAGGTACCATATAGAAGTTAGGCATCCAATAGTTTATATAAATAGGTCAAGAGTAACACTCTTGTGTTGGTGTAACCACACTATCTATGGACCATAGAAACTTTCACACAAACATCTACCACCCTTCCAAACCAAGCAAAACAACACAAACAATGACTAAACAAGACCTATAATTGTGCCAATAAGATCCATCACTTGCAACTCAATTTCTTAATAAGGGTCTAATAGCAATGCTTACCCTTCAAAACTCAAGATGACACTCAAAGCCTTTGTATCACTTGTCTTCAATTTAATTGGCCTAGAAGAGGTACAGACAAACAAGGATGCAACTTTACCTTACCTTGTTGCCACCTCAATATCATCAGAATCTTCAACAACAATAACAACAACGAATGTTATTGAGAAAAATAAGGATGCTGGATTGTGTTGTGTGTGCTTGTCTATGTTAAACAACAAAGATGAAATTCGTGTTCTTCCTTGTTCGCACGAATTTCATAAGGTTTGTGTGAATAGTTGGCTGAAGGGTCATCATAAAACATGTCCATTGTGTCGTTTTTCAATGGGAGCTGAGGAAAAGTCTCATCATGCTGAAATGTTTTCTGAAGAAATGTTAATATGGTTTTCTTCTTTCCATATAGCTGGTATGTAAATATAATGATCTAAAATTTACCAGCAAATTTGTGTTTGGTTTTGCCACAAGCTTGAGACTTTGTTTTTGCTTTTGTAATTTTGTTGCTGCAAGGCATATGAATCAATGGGACAAAAAACAAGGCTTATGCATCATAATATGACGAGAACTTTTACTTTATTTAAATTAAAATTTCAAAAATTCCATTGCCGGGAATCGAACCCGGGTCTCCTGGGTGAAAGCCAGATATCCTAACCGCTGGACGACAATGGAGTTGATGTTAAAGCCATGAAAAGTTTAATAGAAATAATTCTATATTATACTATCTGGTTTTCTTAAAGTTTTAATACTTTTTCGTATATATCCAAATCGGTTAGTATTATTTTCTACAATAACACTATGAGAGTTTATTATCTAATATGCTAATACAAAAGTAAAAAGTGTTAACTAATGGAAATGTGACCTTCTATTATGTGTACTAATTTAAAAATATAATATACTAAAAAGAATGACAAAATTGTTTTAAATCTAAACACAAATAGAGATATAAAATATAAGTTTGTAAAAATAACTATTTCAATATTTAGAGGACAATCTAATTTTGTATAAGATTGACTTTAATTCATCTAAATATTATCTATTAAACAAGAAAATAAATTATTGATCACTTATTCTCAATCATTTACTCTCTTCAATCTCAGGCTCTTTTAACTATTATCATTTTATTATTTACTCGCACAAACAATGTGCAAGTAGCCATAAAAGAACCATATGAATGTGAATCATCACTCTAGATAACAACAATCAATCAATATGCATGGCAATATATGCATCATAAACGTTACCTAGCTCGGATACATGATCCTTTAGACATTATTTTCAGACAAATGCATCAATTAATTCAATACATACTAAATATTATTTCTGTCCTAAATTATAAGTCATTTTGAAAAAAATATTTGTTTAAAATTAGAAGTTGATTTATAATTTCAATACAATATTATGACCTTTTTTTTTTCTAATATACCCTCTACCAGATATTGTACAAACAAACTATTGGATCCTTGAGTTATCTTTGCAATACTTGACCCGACATTTGTCAAAGTGTCAGATTATTGAGCAAATTCATGAAGAACCCTCAAGGGTATTATCTCATTGCAATCAAGAGAGTGTTGAGATACATCAAAGATACAACTGATCATGGTGTGATGATGTGTGGTAAAATATAACCAACACAGATGCAGAGGTACATGGTTACACATATTGAAATTTTAATGGAGATCATGAAAAGAAGAAGAGTACTGCAAACTACATATTCATAATTGGAGGTGCCCAAATCTCACGGAGTTCAAGAAAGTAAAGCATTGTGGCTTTGACATCTTGTAATGCTGAGTAGGTGGTTGTATGATATGCAACATGTCAAGTAGCGTGGAAGAAATGTTGCTCGAAAAGCTCAAGATAATGAAATCTAAAATGAAGTTGTTTGTCGATAGCAAGTTATTTATCGTCCTGGAGAATCATTCATTGTATCATGGTCGAAGTAAGTGATGCGTCCGCAAGTGCACGAAAATATCGAAGTAATATTAAAGATTGTCGAACCCACAGAGACCAATGTCAATCTACCGTTATCTATTATTACGGCGTAAAGCTAAGGCTAATGGAATTAGGAAAGTTGAATGCGAATAAAATTAAATGCAAAGGAAATAAAGATAATTGGTTTAAAGAAAAAGCGGTAAAGGGATATCGGTATGCAAGGACTTAGTTATCGGGGATTCGACAGGTCACCGGTGCTTTCTACTCTTTGCAAACACTTTTAAGAAGAAAATAATGGTTTAAAGACCTTTGTCTCACGATGGTTGTTGACTCTAGTCGCAACTCTAAGGCGGAACGTATGCTGTCGCTATCCCGTTCGGGGTTAAAATTACTTTTTGAAAACCATTAAGTTCTAATCCCTTTTAAAGCGTTGTCGCTGTTTTTAAAACGAATGCCTAGTTTTTACTATCTGGTCTTAGCCGCAGCTGTCGCTTGTTGGTTCGTACCTTTATGAATTTCCCACTGTCGTGGCAAAACTACTTTTAAATAAGTTCTCGCTGTCGCGACGAACGTTTATTTAGAAATTAAGATTAAAAACTACGGCCAGAAAGGTTGTTTGTAAAAAGAGAAGGTACCAGTTACTATCGAATCCTGTCCTACTAATTCGGTTACATACCGATAAAACTAATTTAGCTAGACATGATAATTAATGCAAACATAAATAGACATAAACAACTGAATAATAAAGCATGCATTATGACAGAAATAAAGTAGTAATTCAATTAATAAAAACCTGTAAATTGTACTGATCTCAAATCCTTGGGTAGTCCCCCACAATGTCGGCAGGATTCTACTTTGGCAAGAAGTAAAAGGTACAGGAACAAATAAAACCATACAAATGGGAATAAAAGGAAAAGGAAACAGGAAAATAATGCAAGAACGTAAATTCGGCTTCAATTGGTAATTTCGACAGCACTTCGATACGTCGAACGCTCCCCCCAGAAACTCTGAATCTAAGGCCTATTTATAGGAGATAATTCATTCTTCAACTTCTGGAGATCATGGGTGAGTTATGGAGAGAGTGGGAGTAACTTCCAGTAGTGGGCAGTGAGTGGAGAAAGTGTAGGAAGAAATTAAGTTGAGAGTGATCGTGGCTACTTCTGATTTGAACATACTGATATTTTTTCTGCGTGATGCTCGTCATGAAATGTGACGGTCGTAATACGCATGACGGTCGTAAGGGTCATGTGACGACCGTCATATCAGCAAAATCCGTATCTGCTGTTTTTTTATCTGTTTTTCATATGTTTTTCTTCCATTTCTTCTTCTTTTCTTTCTTTAGTCCAAATTCTCCCTAATCTGCTAAACGAAGTAAATTAATCATATAACAGAACATAAATCAAGATAAATTAATAATAGTCACAAATAAATGCATGTAAATCAAGCCAAATAAACGATATGATTTCGCGTTATCAGTAAGCACATAGATATGTGGTATTATTTTTTGAGGGATCGGGTTAACAAAGGAAAGCTTGAACTTGAGGATTGAAAGAAAAAATTGCAACTGGCTAACATACTTCTCAAACCCCTGAAGAAAGTTAGATTCGATGATTTGAAAAGAATATTTGGGATGAGAAGTCTCGAAAACATGTATTAGATGGTGTGTGAGAAGTTGTAATTTAATATTTTATAGAAAAGTTAGTATTTGACTGTGCCGAAGTAGCTAGTCGAAGTAGTAGAATTCATTTGTATTCGACATAGTATAATACAACATTTAGTTATTGTGTTAAATCCAAAATATAACTTGTATGTTTTGGGATTAATTTGTAAGTTTTGGGTTTGGGTTGTATATTTTGGGTCTGAGCTTTTGTTGCATATAAATAAGCATGTCTTTGAAATGAGTTTAACACTTGAAAGTTTTAACAACATAAAATGTTTTCAAATTTAGTTTTGTCTCTTCTCTTTTTTCTCTTCTTCTTCTTCTTATTTATTCTTAAAACTTTAATGGTTCCATCTGTTCCAACAACAGACACATAAATACTAAGGTTTAATGCCCAGCTCTTGACCTGTTAAAAACCCAACCAGCACTACAACGCCAAGCAAATACCATAATTACCTTGCTCCAATACTAGTTCATAACCCCGGAAAAGATTACTTTGTATAGCAAAGTTCTCTACCTAGCGCATAACCACTTCAAAGGAAGCACCTGTCAGAGCTTTAAAGAAAGAAAGCTAGTAGATCGATAAGATATACAAGATGAACTTCAAGAAGATAATACAATCACCTATTAAGAGATGCTTATTGGTCTAAGAAGACAATATCCTCCTTACTATATCCTCCATTATTTTCCATTCCTTTCCCTCTGATAATTTCCTCTGACTGGAAGTTCTAAATATTTTAAGGGTACTCTTCCCACCTTACAATTTAGAACTACTACAACATCCTCCAATCATTATTGATGAATATTCACCCTATTAGTGAACTTCTATGGAAATTTACTTTCAACCCATATACCAATTCAAATCATTGAAGAATTTCCTTTATCGTCCCAATATTCTCCAAACGTTTCTTTCCTACAACAATAATATCATCTCCATATTGTATGTGATAACCACCGAAAAGATTCATATGAACATTTTTGGTCATCTTTAAGAACAAAGACAAGGGATCCCCTTCCCTCACCCTTCTCCCCTCTGAAAGTTTGTTGGTTCGACTTCCACTTATCATTGAACCTTATTCTCTTCCACACAAAATTGAGAAATTTCCAATCCATCGAGTTATAAGCTTTCTCAATGTCGACTTTAAAAACTAATGCTTGTTTCCTCCTTCTCTTATCATCATCTACTAGCTCATTTCCTATAAGAATATAATCTAGCATTTGGCACCCCTAAAAGAAAGCAAATTGGGAATCTGATATTACCTTGTGTACCATTTTCTTCAATTTATTTGCTAGCACCTTATATGTTGTGAATCAGATGTCTTTAAACAAAGTATAAAACGATTTCTTAATGATCAAGAAATACACAAGGGTTAGGGTTAACAAAGGAGACAAGGTAAAACAATAAGGATTTGTTATAAATAGTTATTCTTTCCTTTCTATTTGAACAAGATTACAAGTATACAAGAATAACAAAATAACCTCTTTCTCTCTCTCTCTCGCTCTCTTGAAATTAGGATTTTATCTTCCTATTTTTCCTTATGCCAAGATTGAGAAACTAACATCCTATTTATAAGAAAAATAACACACTAACCTAATGAGATTTTTAACAATTACCCATTACATGCTAAATTAGGGTACAAGTTAACTTAAACACTTGGGCTTACAAGCAAGGCTCAATCCAATATGCTAACAACCTAGCATTATTGACTAAGGCATGTTAGAACAAACTTCGACTACAACACGCATTACTTCGACAACAACATGCGAACAGACTTCGACCTCATGCTTAATTCCTGTTGAACCAGAAGCTACCCTTCGACCATACTAG